GCCTTCAGTTTCAACACCATAGGAGCAGTGAATTATGAGCAATAAGCACTAATCAATATAAAATCAAAAGCTATTTTCGTGAGATACGAAAATAGCCACAAAACTACTGAGGATAGTCAGCCAAGTTCAAGAGCTTCTAAGAAGAAGTTTAAGTGAAATTACAACTCAGTAATCAGGCATGGAAACCAATTTGGGACCAAAGTTGGGGAAACACAGTGGATCAGAAAGATCAGAAGAACAGAAGCAATGGGTGTGCTCAGGGAACATTCATCAGAGAGCAAGAAGGTACTGAAGTACGTGACACCAGCATGGTGGCTTCCAATACTGCATTAAGGGTTGCATGGAAATCGTTTTGTGTTGGCCTTTCTACAAAACTGTGATATTCTTGCATTCTTTTTACTAAATTGTTACTGTAAACTGCAGTTCTTTGAACCTGTTTGAGATGTTTAGAAAAATGCAGAAGATACGGAATGGAGGGCTGGAGGTGTGGGTGGTTCAAGTGGTACAGCACTTGCCTAGGAAGCAGGAAGCCCTGAGTTCAAACCCCAGTACTGTCAAAAAAAAGATATATAATGAAAGGAGGCAAGAATAATAGATACAAATACCAAAATAACCCTTTGTGTTTTGGTTTAGGTTTTTTTTTTTCTTTCTTTTTTTTTTTTTTTTGGTGATACTAGGGTTGAATTCATTGCTTGCTAGGCAGGTGCTCTACCATTTAAGTCATGTCCCTAGCCCTTTGGATTTAATTATTTCTAGAATGGGTCTTGAGTTTTTGCCTGGGCTGTGATCCTCCTTCACATGCTACCTTGCCCAGATTTATTGGTAACATGGAATCTCCCTAACTTCTTACTTATGCTGGCCTTGAACCATAAGCCTCCTGATCTCTGCCTCCCTAGTTGCTGGGATCACCGATGTGAGCCACTGCACCTGGCCCCAAACTTATGACTGATACTTGACACGTTTCTTGTTAAAACCTACAGTTTACAAATAAACTACGGCCAGTATAAGTGAGAATTAGGTGTGTAGGAATAGACAGGAAATTGAACATAAGTCTTGTTTTTAAATCCAAACTAAATATCTGAGACATTGTTTTGAAGCATTGGTGCTCCTAGCCATCTAGGACCTGAAAGGACAAAATAACCAAAATTCAAAAGCAACCAAAACTCTAAGCATCCAGTTGTGAGTTTCCCATTCCTGAATGTGTCCTCTTATCACATTGGAATTATCTGCTCTATTTTTCTATTATTTTTTTTCAATTATGCTTTAGAACATAGATTGTCAAATATTTTTCTGTGTGAGCCAGAGGGTAAATATTTTAGGCATTTGGATCATATGTAATCTGTCTCACACAATTTGTGTGTGTGTGTGTGTGTGTGTGTGTTGGAGATCATTCTTTGAAATATGAAAATTATTCTTACCTAGAGGGCTGACCAGAACAGGCATGGCAATAATTTGTCAACCCTTATTTCAGAATAAATGGCTTTTTGACATTTGGAATCTCATCACTTGCTGTGTACCATAATCATTCCTAAGTCACACAATAATTGACACTATACATTCAGCATGGTTCCTTCTTTTGCTTCACCGCAATACATGAAAGGTGAATATTCAAATTCTTACAGGCCATTTCAGTTGGTACAGAGTGAAGAGTGACATGTCAACATGTTAATGGTTTTCTTGACTTTCTATACATGATTTCTAAATATTTGTAAGTTAATGGAAACCAAAAACCTTCAATTAAGCTTGCAAAGCTCTCTCTGTTTTATTTGTAGACATATTTTATCCTAAATGGAAACAATTTGTTTGCACAGTCTTCTCGTAAGTTAAAATTCAATGCTCCCCAAATAAATATCAATGTATTTATGAAACTACATGATTTTCTAGTTTTGCATTAAAGGCATTTTGCAATGGCTAACAAAAATACATAAAATATTAATTTCCACAGAATACAAACATTTAAATTTTCTCATCTATCCTCATTTTATTTGGGCGAATTTCCTTGCATTATTATTTGTATATTCAGCAAATGTTGTTGATGGATAATTTGTTGACTTAGAATACAACACCATGATGGAGCCTGTTTCTGATGAGACTAAAATTTGGTTTAAAAGTACATAAAATATTTGCTGACCATAAAGTTTAGGATGTAAACAGTACAACTTAAGAATGACAAAGTGTCCTCTGCAAAGCACTAATAATAAAGTTTATAGCTAAGTGTGAAAGAAAAGGCAGCACGGAAATCACTGGTGTTTAATGAAACCACTCATGGTTAATCAGTGCCTGAAGTAGCAAACATGACTAAGGGCACGACATTGGCTGAGATGTAACTGGCAAGAAGAGTCACACTGCTACTCGGAGAAAAGACTGGAGGAGAAAAAGTAGAAGCAGAAAGTCAAAACTCATTTGTCCCCCATTCATCAGTAAAGAATCTACATATTCCCCAGGTGAGAGGTGTCAATGATTTGGAATCGCTTAAGTGGCGCAGGGATAAGATTAGATGAATGGACATGGAGATTTGAGATAAGGGAATGTTGGTGACAGTAGAGATGACACTTACCAAGCAAAGAAACGAGGTGTTCTAAAACTGCAAAAGGACTCCTCTTCTCTTTCTTCTCATCTTGTCCCTTCCTGCATAATTCACTTGTCAGTCCACGAAAGGAAGCAAAGCATGGTATATATGCAACACCAGTGATGATGCTCCAGGGGCCCAGAGTGAGCTGTTAAGTCCAAGCAGAGTGGTGAGGACATCCACAGAGAAGCTTGGGTGTCTGCATTGGGAGAATCTGATCTCACTACGTAAGGATGGCAGCCATAAAAAGGCCAACCTAGCATGGGTCATTGTCCACTCAGGATGAGGAGATTTCCTATGCACAGATCAGAGCCTGGGAAGTGTGAGGACAGAATCAATGAGGCACTTGGCACAATAGAGTGGGAGGCAAAGCTATGAAGATGATCCAATCTATATAAGGGTCAGAGGTACCTACATAGAAGAGGAATGTCTGTGGGGATGGGAGGTTGTTTATATAAATAGTAAGTGATTGACAAAATGTTGATCAATGGTCTTAAGAGCCAGGATTTTCACTATCAGAGAAGAAATTAAAAGAGGAAAAGCTAGAATAAACCCTGAGGTATTGAAATGGAATGAAAAATATTAGTGTGAATTTATGCTAGATGATCTTTATTGAGAGAAATAAGATACATATAAAAGTGCATACACATGAGGGGTGTGTGTGGGGGGGGGTGTTTCCAGCTGTCTACTGAGAGCACCCAGGAGTAGCAACACACCAATGACAATGAGCACTTCTCAATGAGGCTTTGAAATATGTTCTAAAAGAGAAACCACAGTCCCTTAGAGATGCAGCTAGTTCCACTGCTGAGACAGGGAAAGTGCAAAATGAACTTGCAACTCACTGGTGGGACAGAAAGAAAAGCTTAAAAGAAGATAACAGTGTGACGAAAGGACATGGAAGCCAGTTTCAAGCCACTCCCACTATTCAGGTCAGCAACCACTGAGCATCAAGAAAAAGCTGAGTGCTGGTGGCTCACACCTATAATCCTATCTACTCAGGAGGCAGAGATCAGGAGGATCACAGTTCAAACCCAACTTGGGCAAAAAGTTTTTAAGACCCTAACTTGAAAATACCTAATTCAAAAAAAGGGTTGATGGAGTGACTCAAGTGGTAATGTGCCTGCCTAGCAAGTATGAAGCCCTGAATTCAAATCCCAGTTCCACAAAAAAAAGAAAAAACAAGAACAAAATGGTAGGATCAGATTATAAATTATTTAAAAGAAAACAAAAAAAGCTAGAAGTCTATAGAAATGATCTTGAAAGAGATATTTATGCAGCTTAAATGTATCTTTTCTCAAAATTTATGTTGTCTTAAAAGTAGGAAGAAGACCCTTAAAAACAGAGACATCAGTAGACTCCTTCATTGATGATGCAGCATTATTGCGCTCGGGTTTGAATATGGACTGTCCCCAGTGGCTCACAGGTGAAGGCCTGGTCCCCATGTGATGGTGCTATTTTGGAGATGGTAGAAACTTAAGAAGATAGCACCCAGCTGGAGGAAGCAAGTCACTAGGGCATCTTTTGAAAGTTATACGTGTTCTCTGGTCCCTTCCTCTCTGTCTCTATTTTGTCCACCATGGGGATAGTAGCCTTTGCTACATGCTCCTGCTGCTATGATGTTCTGCCTCACCACAGGCCCCAAATCAACAAAGTCAGACTCTGAACTGAGCCCCTGAAACTGGGAGCCAACAAAGACTTCTTCCCCTAAGTTGTGAAGTTTCCATGTGTTGGTTTTTTTTGAGGGGATGGCTGAGCCTCACCTCCAACCCTTCTGAATTTATGTCATCTTTTATAGAGAGCCTTGGGTTTTGTCTAGGCTGGCCTGTGACTAAAATCCTCCTACTTATGCCTCCTGCCTAGCTTGATTACAGATATGAGCCAACATTCCTGGGTGTTTTGTAGAAAAGGTGTCTCATTAATTTTTTTCCCAAGATAGCTTCAAATCCCGATCCTCCCAGTCGCTATCTACTGAGCAGCTGTGATTGCAGCCCTGAGCCACCATCTTCCACCCTTAAGTTGTTTTTGTCAGGCATTTCGTCTCAGTGACACAAGAGTAACTAATACATATTATTTTCAGTAACAGAATAAATTAAAATTATGTACCACCTAACAGGGGCATTACTGAAACTTGAATGGAGAAAAATAAAACAAGTTTTCTGTAATATTCTGGCCAAATTATCTATGTATCCATCCATCTACTTATCTATCACCTGAAGCTAATAATGAGGAAACACCAGAAAAACTCAAATTGAAATATCAAACAAATAAACTGGATTGTAATATTTTAAAAGTATCAAAACATGAAAATAAAAGAAATGCTGACAAACACTTCAAGCTGCAGAAGACTAAGGACACACAACAACATACAAAGCTTGAGTCCAGGTTGGGTCAGAGAAATTACTGATGAAAATGAATGTGTTTAGCGGGTTACATGCAGCAACACTTCGATGTAGATGCTACTAGTTTGGTGGTTGCAATGCAGGCACATGAATGTGTTCTGGGATGGTGGTGCCTTAAGCCAGTAGTCAGTCATGTCCCTAATAATTTGGAAAGTAAATATTTTACAATGCACACAGCTTTTCTGTAAATTCGAGAAACTGTTCCAAAGGACTGTGGGTGACTCAAGTGGGAAGTCCTGAGTCACACATACACACACACAAACATGACTAAGAAGACACATGGTGGAATCTTAATTACACATTCCTGAGTGGAAGAAGTTAGTCTGGAGACCATGCATACTGTGTGATTATAACTGTATCTATCACTTTCTGGATAAGGCAAAACTATTAAGACAAAGAAACAATCAATTGTTGGTAGGAATTAACAGGGGAGAAGAGGGGGATGGAGAACAGGTGAACACTGAGCATATTTAAGGCATCTAATAGGGGACTGGAAAGGAATAATCAAACTATTTAAATTACAATAATTTTTCTTATTGTTGGTCTAGAACATAAATACAAATACAACAAATTTAATATGTGTGATACACTCCATGATCGTGTGTCTTTATGTATGGCTTCTGTCATAAGTCAGAGAGAAGGCTATGATAATCAGTGAAAAAACTTAAAAAACTTACCAGGAGGAAAATCAGCAACAAAAAGACTTACACACTGATCACTTCAGTAGTTATTTGGTGTCAACCCAATATTGCATACCAAACACTACAAGAGGTCCCTGTCTTTAAAAAGCTGTATTTTAGAACAAAAATCATTGGAAGAGAAAAGGAAGGGAGGAAAGGTAACTAAAGATACTCTATATTTTATAATAAAAATCATAAATCTCCTAAGTAGTATATATAAGTTGTACTAGATTTTTTTAAATCATAGAATATTTCTTAATTTCATAAACTAGAAATTGTATAGGCTCATTTGGGTATTGTTAGAAATTTTAAAATCTGGAAGAACCATATTGGACATATTGGAAAATGGAAAACACAGGCAGTGGAATAAATACGATTCATTTGAGCATATCTGATCTCAGAATTGAAGAAAATTCATTGTGAAGTATGTGTGTGTGTGTGTGTTACAAATATCCACACTATTCATGCAGCGTTGCTTACTGGAAAAATGGCTTTGAAATCAAGTTATAGAAACAGAAACCTTATTCTCTACCAAAAAGAGACCTCAAAATTGGAATGTGCTTTGAAATCTAATCTGTTTCACTTTTCTTCTGCAGACCAGCAAAGCAATTCCTCAGACGACAGCTCCATTGCTGATGTCTCTGTGGCAGCAGGTGACATTACAGGTCCATATAGTTATTTAATCACTACTGAGTCACATGTATGTTCATCTTACAGAGGTGCAGACACAGTACTATGACCAGTAACCATGCAAGTTGCTGGCTGTGGTTCAGTAATTCAACAAAAGTCTTATTCCTTGGGAGTATCACAGGATGAAGGAGATTCTCCTGTAGTAGGTATGCAACCTACTGCTAGCTGAAGCCTCCCCATCTCTCAGGAGCAAACAGTTACTGTGAAACCTCACCAATTTAAGCTCAGCCCTTCTATCTCCAATCTCAATGACTACATGTTTTGCTTTTTTCTATCATTTCTATTCATTTCAAATATTGCTGCTCACAAAGCTCTCACAAAGAATATTGTGAATTTTAGTAAATTTTATTGGCAGTGAAAAAATATGGAAAGTGTGGACTTATATCCAGTCATCCTCTAAATAATATATATTCCTCTCTCACCTCTCTCTTTCTTTTCCTTTTCTCTTCATTCTTCTCTCATCCATCTCTTTCTTTTTTTTTTTTTTGTTTTTTTGTTGTGTGTTTTTTTTTAATTATTCATTTATTCACATGTGCATACATTGTTTGGGTCATTTCTCCCCCCCTGCCTCCCTCCCCCACCTTCTCCTCCCCTTCCCCCTTCATTTCCAGGCAGAACTTCTTCTGCCCTGATCACTAATTTTGTTGAAGAGAAGACATAAGCATAATAAGGAAGACAAAGTGTTTTGGCTAGTTGAGTTAAGGATAGCTATACAGAGAGATTCCTAGCATTGCTTTCATGTACACATGTGTTACAACCCAGGTTCATTCATCTCTAACTGATCTTTACAATGGTTACTGATCCCCTTCTCATGTTAACCTCTGTCGCTTTAAGATTTCTATATTAGTTCCTCTGGAGTGGGGACATCAAATGCTTTCATGTTTTGGGTTTTCTACCTATTGCTGTATCTCCCATATGTGTTCTCCCCTTGTCATATTGCCCTTTTTGTAGGAATGCTCACCACATAGAATGGATGTCATATTACTGAGTAATCTTCATTACCCTGCCAAATTCTTTCATGAGGCTTCTTCTAGATTTACACTACTGGCCTGTCTGGACTCTGCGCAAGGTTGTTGCGTTTGGAAGAGGGACCGTAGTATAACTTGTAGGTAGCTAAGATCCCTAGGGAATGGCTGCTTCTCCACTGAGGTGCTCATAAGTTTTCTCTCATCAGCATGGTGCAAACAGCCTGCCATGTCACAGCACACCTGAAGTGGTCCAGTCGTGCCATTGTCAAAATGTGCAATAGAAAGCCTGCTATTAGTGGACATCTAAAACCTCATATAAAATGAATCATCTTATCTCCCAATGTCCACCTTATGTACTGATATGCTCTAAACTCCCTGGACAAAGGTAAAATATGAAGGTAAAAGTTATTGCAAATGTGATGCAAAACACTTGATTTACTATGATTGCAAATTCAACAGTGAGCTGATAACTGATTTGAAGCACCTTGAAACTCATTAGACTGTGTAAAATAGCTCTTATTTACAACCAGCTCTAGCTCCATACAGTCTCCCATTATAAAGCTGATATTCTAAGTGGGTAGTTGTCTTATTTTTGACAGCTAGGGTATTTAGAAGCTCCATTTTCTGTTTAGAGCTTTCCTGAATGTCTAAGCTATGGTCTCAGCAGGCTTTCCTTTGTTGAACTCTCAGTGTCTAAGTTTAGCTCTTTAATCATCCTGAGAAGCTGTAAATTTTTCAATACCCTTTAAGTAATTTTTGTTAGTTTAATAGCGGTAGATTCTGTCAAACAGAGCCAAGAACATAGGTAAAGTAAATCATACTTACTCCTCCCACCCCATTCTTGTGGTTGCAATGATCTTTACTAACTTGTAGCTTGCTTCTTATGATACCATAAATTCCAAGAGAGGAGGCTTTAACAAAAGTTTAATGTATGTGAAATGTAGGTTTATTTTCCAAGTCTTAGAAAAATTTTCCATCCCATTCAAAAACTTTCCAAATACATCAACTCAAGTTTGTTTCTTCTTTGAACTCTGAAAATGCAGCTCTGCCTACACAATGTGGTGGCCTCCCTGAATTTTGACAGCTTTTCACAGGGAGAAGCAGCTAACTTACCGAACAAGTGCAATGGCTAATACAGCAAGAGAAATGCTTTGCATACATTGTGTTCCTTTTACTTTCTTATTCTGGTTACAAAAACATGGTTTCTCTATTTTTATTATCTTTATCTTAGAAAGCACAACACAAAAATTCTGTAATGTGCTGACAGACACACATTCACAACTCACGATTATGTACAATTCTGGCTGTTCTCTTTTACTCTGCTGCACAACATATATTTCATTTTAGATCCACCTTATAAACTATTGAAGAAAATGTCAGGTGTAATGGGTGTGTTTCAGAAAAAAGCCCTAGAATGTGATGACTCCCTTGGAAACATGAGACAGCAGAGAGGAAATATCAAAACTAGAATGCTCACACACTCCGGCAGGATGGGTCTGGTCAAGAGGTCCTCAGCAGCCAGCCCCTAGCACATCCAGCCTCATTCACATGGCAGGAAATGGTTGGCCCTGTTTTAATGATTGCTGCTACTGCAAATTCTGCAGTGGATATTAGCAAGAAACCAAGACAATAATCATTCATAAGCTGTAACTGGACTGGGTCTGTTCATTCACTAAGCAGTTATTGAGTGGCTATTATATATCAGTTATTACTGGACACAAAAGATGCAGGTGACACTTTAATGTTGGGGATATCTAATCATCAGTAACAAGGCTCTACCAATGAATCTTGAGAACATAACAGATTAAAGTTTCTGAAATGTGGGAGGGATTGATTTAAAAATAAGAACGAAAAAATATCGTAATATAGAGGTAGGATTCTAGGCACAATATAGGTGAGAATTACAGATGGATGGGATGAGTTCTTAAAACACATCCCTAACAGCCAGTGGTCACCACATGATCACCAGATTACAGGTCTAGATCTAAATCTAATTGGAATTTCAATACTGGACCTCATCTACTTAGACCTGTGTTCCTGAATTTTAATAGAGATTCTGAAGTCTCAGACTCAAGATCATCCTTCTTTATCTCGGTTTCACAACTTTCCCCTTCACTCATTGTAAAAACATAGCACTGAATATTTTGCCTTTTAACTCGCTTTTAATGTGTCCCTAATATAGCCAAGGTTGTTGTTAAGCCATACATCACAACATGATCTTACCAAGTGACTGAATTTGGTCTGTTTTCTTGTAGTAAGAGAGTAGCTATTTCATTCTAAATTTGTTTGAGTGAGTTTCACATTTCGGATTGGTCACTTACCACAATGATTACACAGCACAATGATCGGTTGCCGTTAGAAGAGTTATCTTTTTAACAGAAGTCCTCTTTATGTTTTCAAAGTAAACATGCATTTACTATATTGCTCTTCTGTTTGCAATTTGAAATAATTACAGAGATCCTGGTAGGATCCTGTCTGTTCTAATGCACTGTTGTGACTTTATATTTTCTAGGTATCTTTCAAAATTTCAGACATAGATATCAAACTTCAATCAGGAATTAAATTGAATGCTCAATCATCATTGTATCAATTACATAGATTTTTCTAAAATAAGTATTTTAATCATGTCTCCAGTGTTACCTGACTATACACTCTGTACCCATCATTGATCTTATATTGTTCCTTTCTTTTTCTAGTAATTTCTACACAAGTGGTTTCTGCAGAAATTATCTACAAAATATAAATCTAAACACAGATGCCTCTCTCCAGGGTACAAATAATACTCTAATTTTTATGATGTATTGTTTTATGAACATGATAATAATAGTTAAAAACTGAAGAATAGCCATAGAGAAATTATTTAGACCAGGGATCAACAAACTTTGTATAGTAGTTCAGATTAAGAAAACCACAGTTGGCTTGTAGGCAATAACAACACTGTTCAACTAGTCAGGTTATAGCACAAAAAACAGCTATAGACTAAGCAAATGAGTATAGCTGTGTTACATTAAAATTACATAAGCAGTTGGCAATAAGTTTTGGTCTATGGACATATTTTGCTGACTTCTGATTTAGATATTCTCTGCAAGAACACTGCATACTATTTAACTATGAAAATTAAACCTATGGGATGTTTTGACAAAGACTCAAAGAGTGAGATCAAAAGTGAAATTATTCCACATTTAAAAACTGATAAAATAGTTGGGTCAGATGCAGTTCCTGGGGTTTCACCAGGGTCTTTAAGAATTCAACAACAGTCATCCACACTATCCCCTCTTATACCTCCATCACTCCACACTCCAATCTTGGCTAACATAAAAGGTAGATAAAAGGATAGAAGAGAGGATTTTTAAAGTAAACATAGAAGATCTCCACCTTATAGGAAGTAAATGTTAGTGGTGATAAAAAAAAAAATGTCCTGCTGGGTAAAGTAAATGAGAATTCCCCCTTTCCCAAGTCAGGCTTCACAGCAAAAATTTCTAACTCAATCACACTGAAAGATCTGAGATAATAGCAAGGAGGCAAGGTGATAACTTCATTCCCTGGATAACTCATAAGCTGTAGTCTGATGAATTCCATTCTCACACCACAATTTGAATGAGGTTGGTCAAAGGGAAGTAGTTCTTAGGATCACTTATAAACCCTGCAATTTGAGGAAGTGTGTAAACATCAATATCAATTTGTAGTCTATAGATTCCTAAAGATTTGAAACTTGTAAAATCCTGGATCAAAGAAAGAACAAGAAACCAGTTATAATGTTCTTGTGAAGAAGTACAACACTAGCTCTTGGAAGACTTGTTTAAGACATGCAGAAGAAGAATTTAGCATGTCTCATCATGCAGTACAAACATTGCAACATGTGATAAGTACTAGAAACACCCATGAACGGGCGTCTATTGGGTAGACAATTTACCCAAACATGGCTTAAGGACATGGACCATTGATGGTACCAAAAGAGAACCAACTGACTTTTGGAAAGATTTCTCTATTATGAG